ACAGTATGAAAAAAATAATATAATATAATATAATATAAACACTGTACAAGAGAGAAAAAACAGTATAAAACCACAACAGATAACAATAACACAAATACTAGCAGCATAACCGGTTCTCATTACACATACATGCACTACATTACTACACAACCTTTTGACATTACAGTTTATTCATTTTTTATTATTACTATACACCTGTATCACAATATTTTATTTTCTTTTCTTTTACATATACTGTATGTATTTTCATATTGTATGAGTATCATTGGATGGAAGAACTAACAATCTCATTGCCAACGACTGCTTCACTCAGATTGTTGTGTGCGTGACCTGAGCAGCTGACATGTGTTTTTGTTTTTGGATCCAACTTCATATTGAAGATATGACAACACGGTTATAAACTGCAGCCCAAGTGATATCACTGTTAAGATGCATGAAGAATGGAAGTGTTAACACACAGTTTTCTCAGTGCTATTTCAGGGCGAGTAGGTGTAGAGAGAAGATTATAAAGAAGATCAAGAAGGGGCTGAAAACAGTTTTCACACTTTTAAAAACCTAATAAGCGTTACTTAGAGAAGCTGATGAGAATATGAATATTGTTTAATCATCTGTGCTTTGACTCCAGTATATCAGAACTGTTGATGAACTTATTGTCATCATCATGGCGACTATGCGTGATCCTGAAGGTGCTACTTTCAGGCTCTCTGTGCTCCTGATTAACAGCCGCAGACACGGGTGAGGGATTTGTCACCTGCAATAATGTCACCTGCACTCTTGGGTTTTGTCACCTCAGGCTTCGGTCATTTGCTGTACAATTGGCTATTTGGGGTGGAGAACAGCTCTAACGGGGATTTTATTGTACGACACGTTGCCGGTGAAAAAACAGCACTGCTTTTTGCTTCTACTGTCACCGTTTGGGCTTAATACCTTCCATTTACAAGAGTCTCTTTATTAGTTTCAGTGTCTGTGCTTTGTATTGAGCTAACAAAAGACCATTGACTTTCTGTTCCAGGGCTAAAAACCTGGATGAGCCTTCAGAGGAACATTTTAGTACACACGGTTTAATCACTCCACCTTCAGCAGCTGCACTTAGATCACTGAAAGGGAATTAGTGACAAGCTGTTGTGTCATTGTAATAAAACAAAATACATCTACAGGTCTTTATTTATGCTACATGCTACCATATTTTTGCCTATACAGTAATTGTACAGAAGGTACCTGACTGGGTATAAAGCTATTGAAGAGTGAGGTCATGTCCTCAGTAATTTTTCTCAGAATTGAGTTTTAGTAACAGAGTGGAGTTTATGTTCTACAATTAAAAACCTACCCATAATAAGTGTTTTATCAGAAGATTCCTGTATTTTAAGACGCAATATAGTTAAATTCTACACCTTTTAAGCCGTAACAAGAAAGCAGACCTGCAAGCAGGTTGTGGGGTCTAAGCAGCTAAGCCAAAATGTGAAAATAAACAGGTGACATGTTTGTCTGTGTGATTGGACAGATTGAGACCCAAATCTACTATTCCTCTGAGGTAGGGCTTGGAAATAGCTTGGACATAACAGCCCTAATCATCAAACCAAGTTATATTTCTGCAAATTGCTGGTGCTGCTGTTCATAGTCAACTAAATATTAAGTGATAACATAAAGACATAAAGGAAGGGTCGACAAGGCGTTCACTGTACACAAGCACATAGATTTATTTATACAAATATAGTATGTATAACAATTGCATATTAACAGTTTGTTGTCTTTTTTTATCTTTACGGTAATTACGGGACCATCAGCTTCAAAAATGTTAAGTCAATTAAGAAAGAGTACCTGTGATTTAAAGATACAAAAAGGGATCTGTCGTATTGAGATGTTCTGCTTGAAGAGTGAGCGATTCAAAAACTTTTGAATAACCCGAGCACAGAGGTGACCTAATGCTTTAGCATTAACTGACCTTAGTGCTAACAGGTTATTTAGTAAAATGACAATATCTGGCATCGTGGCACATATTATGCTGGACTTGTGCAATTGGATGTAGAGAATTAGTCACGTAGATCAAAACAGAAAATTCTTTTTCTTGAACTTTCTGTCAATAAATCTGCAACATTTTCATGAAAATGCAACTTAACATGTGGCATCTGGATGGTCTCTCCTTGGGGTGAAAAGAAAAATCCTCTAGCGTACAGGAAGTAAATGCGTTTTATGTTGGGGATTTGTTTGGGATAAACAGAAGAAGGGACAGCCTAAGCGGTAAAACCTGCATGGTTGAACAAAACAAATAAAAGAGCGCCACCTACAGAAAATGAAAAAAGAACAGAAACAAACAAAAGACACAAAGATCGACAAAGAAAAGTGATCACTGGGAAGTGCAGTGCAAACAAAAGGAAACAAGGAGCGCTTAGCACCAAAGATGGAGATGATAGGAAAGTAAACACAGACCTGGCGGATTTACCACCACTCTGCTACTGGGTTGGTAGAGAGAAGTTTAAAAACGGATTTCTCTGTTGTCTCCACAGAGGAAAAATGATTGTCAAAACAGAAAACGCAGGGAACAGATCTACATGAACTATGTGCTAATATTCAGCTGTTATACAATGAAACAGATTTTAAATAATAATCTTAGAAAGAATACATCATATTTAAAAGGAACAATAAAACTTCATGTTAAATCTCTGGTCTCATAAACTATAAAATAGACACGTCTGAAAAATAAACATAATTCTAGCATATGTTGATTTAACTCCCACTCAAATGAAAACTGGTGACATTCTGTTTTTCTGTCGGGAATAGGACACAGTTGACATTTCTCAGGGTTGGTACGTTAAAATCTCTCGCTAACATATATTTTCTGGATAAATCTCAGTTGGGAGTAGCTTACAAAGTCTGATCGCAGTTATTGCACATTAATTGTTCTTGCCACCTGGAAATCAATAATCTCTTTATATGGCACATAGGATAGATTTGGACAAAGAAGCTGCCTTACAGTACATAAGACCCAGTTTGCTTTTAAATGATTTACATCTGCACCTATGCCATAAACTTTGTATATATGCATGTATCCGATCATGAATTTAGTGGTGAAATGTAAAAACCGAAGAATGTGTGTTATTGCTAAACCTACAAGATACAAAATCTTTCCTGCTACAATATAGAAGGTAAAAAAGAGTTCACGTTTATCCAAAACAGGACAAGTTCGACACAAAAAAAGAGAAAAAACCAATGGTCATTCATACGGAGACACAAGCACCAGTTGAGGAATCAATAGAAACACCACTGTACAAATGATATCTATGGCAAAATGGCAAAATGGCAAAGGTGCCACGGTGCGATGGATGTTGGTATAATCAGAAATGGATGACTGTAAACAAAACAGCAAACACAAGAAAGGGAGTTCCAGTAAGAGTCACAACCGGGGAGAACAACTTATAAAAGGGAATACAAAGTTAAAATGGACGACTTTCAGTGCTAGCCTCCCTCACACTTGTTTTTCAAAGCACCAATTTCAGGACAAGCGGCTCTCTCTTTGTTTTTGCTCAGTAATCGGTGGTACACTGGAAGGGAGAGAGTAAGTAAAAGAGTCTTCTACTTGTTGGTTTCCTCCACGCCGGAGAGATTCCTTTGGGATCCTCAACACAAACAGATGGTCTTTGAGATCCACCTTTTTTTTCTCTCGCTCTCCTTCACTTCTTCTTCTTTTGGAACAACCTGCAGATCATAAAAAAACAGACTGAGAGCAATGCTTTAGCGCTCGCCCACAGATGAGACTTACACTGATGTTTTTTTTTCTGTGTTATCAAGCTAATTATATATTTCCTGATGATTTTACTAAATGATTGTAGCTTTCAATTGCCGTTTGATTCTCATACCAGCATCAAATCCTTGTAAATCCATTATCGCTCACTTTGAACATTGAAAAGATCACTTTGATGTTCTCTTCTGAGTTTGTGTGCATATCACGCTTGCCAACTCTTTTGGCGTGACAAAAGCCATCATTATGCTACGCCATCATGCTACCCATATGTCATGCCAAACACAAAAGCCACAAAGTTATTCCTCAATTAAAATCACACAGTAGCTCACCAGGTACCCTTCACACATAAAGCAATGTGTAAGCTTTTGTCACTTTAAAAGCACTGAGATGACAGGTACCACCAATCACGTGTTTTTTCTCACCTGGGTGGTCGGGTGTAGCCTGCTTGTGCTAAAATTCCTGTGAAATCCTGTGTGGATTCAAACATTTCATTTGAAGTGTACATGTTAACGCTTCTGGTGTTACATTCCTACTGTTCTTACACCTTCTTAAGATAATAGATTTTAAGGGGAGAAAAACATACATTCCGATACTGGATACTGGGGGAAGGTAATGTGTGTCAACAGGAAGTATAACCATTTATTTATTAAATGAACTATATATCTAGCTCTTCTGGTACCTTTACTTCCTCTTTTTGCTCTTGTCTTTCCCCTGGGAAGGTAGGTTGGTTGCAACGCTAGAATGCAGAAACAGTGGTGGCTAGTGTGGGGGCATTTAGTGACTGCTTACTGTGTTGCACAGAGAGCATTTATGCAGGAGAGACCCCATGAATGCTTTGTTTTTGCTACAATTATAGGGAGGTTATGTTTATTCTGTTGTTGCTGCCTTGCAATAATTTGCTGAAAGAACCACAATACAACACAACGCAGAGTTATACCCACTGCACACGCTCTGAAAAATGTGGGGTGATACATTTTCTGACAACAGCAGTGAACTTTCGGAAGCTACTTATTGATCACGAACTGAAAGTCATCGTCAATCTCCCGCTAGTTGTAATGTAAAGTTGGCATGTGGTGGACAGAGAGAGGAAGGAAGACACAGCCAGAGAGACAGTGACAGAGAGAGATGAATACCAGGCAAACCAGTGGCGTATGCTGCATTCTTGTCTGCTTGTGCATGTCACTTGGTCAGCAGCCTCTTGGCCACCGAAGCAAATCTCTGCGGTCAGCATGCCGGCATTGATAAAACATGATCCCTGCTCAGTTCCCTGTCTGTAGCTCCACCGCAACACACTGTTACAAGCTCCTAAATACTTTCCCAAGCTGCACTGTGCCAAGTGCAAGACAACAGATACGCTTGGGGACTTAGCATCAAACGGGCAGTGCCACAGTGATCTTGGACACATGCCCGCCTCCAATACGTCAGGGAATAATTCGAGAAGTCTGGGCACAATTAACTGTAGCATGATATGATGTAGCTTGTCTAAGTGGTGTCTGAAAAGTTTCTTCTTCCTTTAAAGTTTTGCTATTTTCACACAGTAAAAGTGTGAGTTTGCCTTAGTGTCACTGGCAGTGCAGATCTTTGTTCTAAATTTGGACTGTATAAATATTGTCTAGCAGCAGAGGTATGTAGAACCTCCATCCAGCTATAGCTTCCAAGTAACAGCATTGCAGGGTCTATCTTATCCACGAACCTGCAGAGCAGGAGCCGTAGATGTAATCGTTTTAAGCTTTAATTTACAGCCCTTACAACCAAATCACTGGCAGAACACAGCAGAAGCAGTAATGTTTGCACAGAGGATACCAGCAGCTAAGTTTGCAAAATATGCCACTGGGGTATAAGGCTTCGTGCTGGGATGTAAATGCCTGCTACCTGCACACAAGCCAATAAAAGTAGCTGCATGGCAAGGCAAAGCAGAGCATGGAGCAGAAAACTCTTAACCTCTCCCCATTTATATTACTTTGCTGTATGCTTGCAAAATGTTACTTTTTACCATTTCAGCAACTGAACACAGTTTTATACCACATTTAAATGACAAAGTGCTTTATAATCAATAAACTCTAAAAATGAACCAGATGACATTAAATAAAATGAATATAATAGAATTAATGAAGCAAGGAAAAAGGACATAAATAAAAAGCCATATTATCGATTTTTTACTTTAAAAGTAATCTGTATCCACTTATCCCCTTTTGATTTGTTTTATTACATTCAAATCCTAAAATAGCATACATATGAGATCAAATACTGTCTGTCAAAAAAAAAAAATCAATGTTGAAGCTCAAGATAATCTGCACTCATCTCAATCTGACCTTTCAGATCCAAATCAGGCTCAGCTGTCCAGACTGGGACTCTAAACCACAGTGAGGCAATAAGCCACAGGAGACAGTGCTATACAGTGATTTTACAAGAATTAAGAGCCTGTTAGCTTTTTCTAATGAACTTTAAAATAAAATTTATGTCACTGTGAGTAATTTATCATACTTTCTGTTTTGAGTAAAATTGATGTTAAAGGATTAGCTTTGCCATTTTGGGAAATACACTTACATTAGGTTTCTTGCCGAGAGTTAGATGAGAAAATTGATTCTCAAATCTGTCTGTTAAATATGAAGCTACAGCCTGGAGATTGGAAGCAGATAAAACAGCTAAAGATCTACCTACCAGCCCCTCTAAACAGTTTTAATTGTTTTCAGTGCTATCCAAACTATTACTAAATATATTTCCAAACTAATTTGCTGCAAACAGCTTTCAGTCTTTATGCTAAACTATGGCTGTAGCTTAATATCTACCATCCAGGTATAATATATCGTTCTAACTCTCAGCAAAAAAGCTACTACTAGAAACTACTAGTATGAGTATTTCCATCATTTATTTTCCATATCCCTTTAAAGAACCCGCTATGTGACAGGCTGTGAAAATGCAAGGCAGTAAATGTGGTTGAGGAACACTGTTCTCCAGGGGTGTTTCCAGAGGGGGGACCTGGGGTGGCACTGGCACTGAGATCTGATTGACCATCCCATTGTCCTTACCTCTTCCACTCCAAACTGCCTTTCAGAGGCTATAGCGGGCTCTTTTTTAAAACTAGATACTGGTATCATGTGAAACTAGATGACATAAAGCATCCATTGGTACAACCAATAGTTCATGCCCCACCCCAGTCAAAAAAGTCTGAACACACCCCTGCTGTTCCCTCTCCAAGCAATCTTTTTCAAGACTTGTACCAATGCACTTCGGTACTGGGACTGGTTACTCATTCATGACATCATCCTCTTCTCTGGTGGTGTTTCACCTTGCGCTCCAGGTGTCCCGCCTCCTGCCACCCCTCACCCTTAAAGCAATGAAGCGCCTCACCTACGACATGTGGTTCTGCTGAGAGGTCAGGTTCTGCTGTTGCTGCTGCTGCATGAGGAGCTGCTGCTGCTGGCGCCGCCGGGCCGTGCGGAGCTTCTCAAAGCGAGCCTCCATTTCCTCCAGCACTTTGGGGGTGTAGCGAACCACCAGCTTCACACTGTCCTTGGCCGCCTTCAGCAGCTCCACTGCTTTCTCGTGGTGCTCGCCCTCTACACTCTGCAGGGGGTTTAGAGACAGAGAGAGAGTGGAATTTCAAAGGAAGCTCATTTGAATATATCTTTAAAAATAGTAACTCCTCTTAGGAAAAAAGAATACTTTCTCCATTTTTAATACCCATGATATTACATAAAAATCAGCAGGCTTACAGTCAGTGTTGTTCAAGTCTCTCTTGTGGCTGGAGAAGCGTCTGCTCTTTATTCAAGACATGTGCAGCACTTTGATCACAAAAGCTCTCCTGACTGTTGACTCACATATCAGACTAGAAATCAAACACTTCTTTCTTATTTCAATTGAGGAATTTTTTTTGGAGGCAGGCTTAAATAATAAATAAGGGCAGAAAAGTATATCTACAGTCTCCCTGCAATCAATATATCGAGCATCTCACCCCATGCGCTGTATCAAAATGAAAGTGTGGGTAGACCTACCACACCATTGACAGACAGGAGCTGATCCCCTCGCTTTAGGCCACCATGCCTCTCAGCCACGCCTCCGGGGATGATGCGGGAGATGTAGATTGGTGAGTTCTGCTCCTTGCCGCCCATCACGTTAAAGCCCAGCCCTTCCTCCGTCTTAGGTAGCTCCACCACCCGCGGGTGGGAGTGACCTTCGCTGGCTGCAAAGGCTGCAACTGTGGCCTGAAGGAAGAAAAGCAAGATGAGGCTTTATGATCATCACAAGGCTGACTATGCCAAAAACCCTGAAAATAACCTGTATATACATTTTATTATTTTGAGACATTATAAATAAAACCATTGCTTTCAGCCTCCACACATTGGGTTTAATTGAACATGTGTTTTTCAGCAAGTGGGTACACATGACCTGCCTCCTTAAGTAGAGCGAGTAGATTATCTCAAAGTCAAAGTCTGGCATTTAAAAACAGATAAACTAGTAAAAACAGGTAAAATATAAAAATATACATCACAAAGACCGTTAGATGTGGCTGAAAGCTCTGGAAGTATGTGTGCCTTTGAACTCTTGTTACAAATGATGTTCCCAGAGATCAAGAATGAACTTCAGTGCTAAAACATATATTCTCTTAGGCAAAGCGAGATGCAATCTTAAAAACAAAGAAAATACCGTCTGTGGCACTTGAGACAACAGGTTTTATGAGAAATGTCGTCCTACTTTTGAGAAGGGCTAACACTAAACAAACCAGTGACATGAAAGAAACGCCTAGTGCTCGCTGCACTCCTTGTGCGTTTTCCTTTGTCGAATAGTGTGATCATTGTAGTCAACTCACCTTGTATGAGTGCAAATGTTTAATTTCTTTAAACCCAACATCAACAGTCTTGGACAAAAATGTCTCGTTTATTGAGCAAAAAAGTCATGTAGTCTGCACTAGCTTCTAGCTTCTTCTTCATTACACTCAAAATGAATGCAAAGGAAGAAAACCAATTTTGAAAGCATTACAAAGTGATCGTGAAGGTGGATGGCTGTAACAAAGCGTTGGGATTTAGTCAGAGCTGGGGATTTGGACTCCACATGAGAAGTTCTCTGGCTTTCTAAGCACATGGATTAACACATCCAAGCTCACGCTGGAGGAGCAGCCAGACAACTTTCACCCTCTGTATCTCTACCAGCTGGTTGATGTTGCTCGCTGGCTGTGGGATTCCTTTGAACCTCAAGCCAAACTCCTTGCTCCTTGTACGTTCAGAACAAAGCACCCATGAGCTTGTTAGCCGAGCCTGGGAAAGCTAATGGCAGACGAACAGAGAAAGAGACACCCCGTGCCCACTGATCCACAGATGCATTGCCACAGGTGCATGGCTGTCAAGTCGGCATCATCTATGATATGTGAGGTAGATTGGCACGAGGGAGGATAAGAAAGTAGAGGAGGGGAAGTTCTGTCAGAAGGTTTTTTGCCGATGTGTATCCAAATTCCCCAGCAGCAGACAAGTATATTGGCACTTTGAGGTCTTTGATGCTCCCTCCAGGCAGCATCCCCATATCTGTTCTCTCTTCCATATTCATGCATCTTCATATACACATTCATTTCTGCTCAAACCGTTTCTCTCATTTCTCTCTTCTCTCCCACTGCCTGTTTTAATCTGGTTATTGTATTCTGCCAACTTCTCATCTCCCCTTTTTTCCTTCTCTGTCCTTCTCCCATTCTTCCTCTCCTCCACCCTCCCACACTGTCCCATTGTGAAGCAAAAAGGCAGCTCCTCAGCATGCATACCGTCGCCTCCCAGGCCTCACAGCACATCGACCTTCACAACTTTATCTGGCGCTCTGCGAACAAAAAAACAATCATGGCAGATGGCTTGTGTCTCTCAAACACAGGAGGCATCTTGAATGAAATACTTGCAAGAGGAGACTTATTTGGTAACCACACTGCACTGTACAGTATAAGTATGACTTCATGTATCACTTGATCATCAGCTTTCATTATTTTCTCTGGAGCCCGTACGGCCCCATCTCCGTCTCCATTAAGATCAGTAATAAGGGCCCCGAGCCAGGAATTAGAGGCTGAATTGATTTAATTAATGAAGCAATCAAAGAGAATCGAATGGTTCAGGTGAAACACAAATTTCAACTGTCGGGAGATTTGCCGTCTCACTAGCTAAAGTACTCGAGAGGCATATGAGACTTGGCATATTTCACACATATTTCGTCATTATTGCGACAGCAGCTTATAGACTTCATTTTCAACGCAGTATGCATCTTTTTTCCTTTCAGACTGTATGTGTAACACTGATGGAATGCAATTGGTACTGTGGCCTGGCTTAGTGATTATCGCTAGAGAGAGTAAAAAACTTCCAGTGCTCCCAGTTTTGAGTGTCCCCACAGCAAAGCCAGCTCAGGCCATTAGCTGTGTGCCTAATTGCCCAATGGATATGCAATTTTAATACAGATTTAGGAGCAGTAACTTCTTAAAGTTTGGGGCAAAGACAAAAAAAAGTAGGAAAGAGTTTTAAAGCTGCTTAAATCATGTCTTCATGGTTGCTTCAGGCTTAGAAAAATTGAACAGAGATTTTTCCCCAGCTTAACCGTCACAGTTTCTCTGAAGAGAGAAAATTCCTCTACTCCCCAGTCGTTAATAAAGATGTTTTTTTTAGATCAACACTTGAGAAATGACAGGAGTTATTCCAAATCCAGTAACAAATATGTACGTCTGTGCCTAACGTACGGAGCTACAGCCAACAGGTGATTAGCTTAGCTTAGCTTAGCTTAGCTTAGCATAAAGGCTGGAAACAGGATGCAACAGCTAGCCTAGCTCTGTCAAAAAAGTTCAACAATACACCTGTGTGCATACACCACAGATTAATTTGTTTAAGCCGTGTGCAAACAGAAAGTCAAATTTGTGGTTTAGCAGTCACATGCTGAATGTATTATGGGCCAAATAGGTGTTTTTACATTTGTGTGCAGACCAAAGAATAAGATTGTTTTAACTAGGGAGCTTCAGAGGTGCTGGAACTTTGGAGAAATGTCATCACTTCATCGTATCCCATTAAAGAAGAAAGTTTGTCATAATTACCGCATCAACTGTTGAGTAACGACCAAAGACATGTTTGGCATGCTAATTTTGAGGTTACGGTGACATTGACCTTTGAGCCGAAAGAATCACCAATTCATTGTGCAACCAATTAGGAAATATGTTCATCAATTCTTTGGTTACGGCCAAAAACAAGTATTGTGTGTTGACAATGACCTTTACCAGTCCCGAGTCCCCGAGTCCAAGTGGACATTTCTGCCAAATTTGAGGAAATTCCTTTGAGGCGTTCCTGAGATATTGTGTTTACAAGAATGAGATGGACGCAAAACCCGAAAACATTTTTTGCCGGCGTAGAGGCAAAGAAATGATCAATATGTCAAGCTATTCCTTTAACCAGGTGCTCAATTGCAATTCACCAGACTCTGCACTGTTGTGCTCTAGGCAGAGTGTTGGATGGGTGAGCCAACAAAACAGGAAAGATCCGGTCGGGAACACTCGAGTACAATCTCTCTGCATACAAACACAGAGACATGTTTTTGTCATCCGATTCTATTCGCATCCTCCACCCACTCTCTGTGATGTACTGGAGAGGAGTGGACCCATCTGGACCACTAAACCACTGAAGGACAGAGAGATGCTCTCGTCTCTTCTCCTCCATCATCCTCATCCTCCATATGAAATCAGACAAGCCTGTCCTCTTTGTTTTCTTTCATAAAAGCCTGTGTCTCTTGTAGGTAAGGTGCCGATGAGAAGTCCTGCTCAAAGGGCCGGGACAAGCTAATCTTTTGTATACCAAAATGAGATTATTCCATTCACACTGCACCTGTGACACGCATATTATGTTTTCTAAACTGCAAGCAACAAAAAACATCTGCCTGAAATATTAAATAGTCGAGTGGACACATAAAAAAGGATGAGTTTTATCAGTGATTGACATTTTATAGGCGTGAGATCAATAAACAGATACGAGCTGTCATTTAAAAAATCTGATATGAGCAGTGGATCTGGATTAAATGTCAAAGCTTGCCACGTATCTCTAGAAATAGTTTATCTTGGTTTTATTTGAATGCACACTGATCAAAAAGAACAAAATGAAGGAATCAATCTAACACAGTGAGCCTGTCAGTTGTGATAATAGCAAAATAAATATATGCTTTTATCATTATATTGTTTAACAGAGTCATTTATCATCCAGGTTGTGTAACAGGATATAAAGTGACATCAGTGCTGATAGCAAACAAAATGTGTTTTATGAGAGCAGATTAAAGATGGAAATCTAGTGGCTGTTAATCTGATGATTCAGGACGAACATCATGTGAAATTTAGGTGAGTCCTGAACCATCCCGCATGCCCTTAGTTACGCTGCTATAAGGCCTAGACTATCAGGGGATTTCCCATGGTGCACTGAGCTCCTCTCCTCCTCTCTCTTTCTGCACTCATTCATGTCCCATTAATGCATGTTACTAACTTTCACTTCCTTCTCCGGAG